CTGAACATGTACTCGGACATCAGCTCGCGCAGATACGTAGCAGTGCGCGCACTTACGGCCTCACTGTCATGCCAGTTCATATCCCCATATCGGTAGGCGTAGATGTTTTTCTCGCCTCTCTTGTAAGCGAAACAGAAGGCACTGCGTGTGCTCCATCAGCTTCGGTTGATGTACGGACACAAAGCGCGCGTACACATTGGCATCAAGAAGATTAACTATGGTGACTGTCAAAGCTGTACTCAGCAGCATGGCGTGAAGGAAAGCGTGTCATACGCACGGAACCAGCATGCTACAAGGGTGCGTCCAGTGGGATCACTCTTGACGGCTGCAGCAGGAATCGATCAGCATGAACAGCGCCGAGGGCTGCGCTGCTCACTGTCTGTTGTGCCCAGTCTGTATTTCACGGGCCAGGCGTAGTTCGAAAAGATAGTGCCCTTGCAGGACAGTCAGACTCTTCTGTGGTTGCTAAGGTTAGCGACATACTCCAGTCTTTAGATCGATGGTGATATCGAATTTGATTTCGATGATTTTGCTGCCGAACGTATCGAAGCCTTGAAAGTCAGCATGATAGACGATGCCGTGAGGATCATCGAGCACAGAACGCTCGTCGTGGCTCGTTGTTGCGATGGTCGCTACGCTGTCGGGCGAGCGCGGCACGACCAACTCGGCTCGTGGTGCATTATCTGCGGGCAGAGCCAGAGCCGACGACAAAGCAGCGACGAGCAGTACGAGTCTCTTGAGCATCTTGACTGTTTGTCGATCGTAACAAGTCGTCGTCGGTGAGAAGGTAACGAAGGGATAGGCGACATCTCGTCAATGTTTAGCGACGACTCGAAACTCGCCGACGACGCGAGACGCTACGCGGAAGCTTCCGTCCTTTACTGTTGCGATAGCGTACGACCGCAGCCAACCAGAAGCCGCCTCTTAGACAGAATGGTCACGCTGCCAAGCTTCCTAGTCGACGTGCCTCGCACTCCCGCCATTGCTGTAGGCGTACCCGTCGCACTCGGTACGTCTGCAACTCCAGGGCTTGTCGAGATGGACTAACAAGCGCGCGACAGGCTTTATCCCAGGCTTGGTGACTCGCAACTCCATCGATAGCTGGTATGACACCCTCAAGAAGCCAGTCGTGAGTCTCTCTACGACATCAGCAAGCGTTCGCTGACTTGTTGACGCGTAGGGAGAGCCTCCTCGCGCTGCCTTGTGCGTCCTGACCGCTCTATCTTCAGGCCAGGCAGTGCTAACACGAGAAGCAGCCCTATCGTCTGGACTGCGCTGTACGCTGGGATGGGATACGCTTCCCACTTGCTCGTCAAGGCCCTCGACACGAGCCCTCGTCTCGCCGTTCGGGAGAACGCAAAGACGGCGTTGACGCTCCACTATGCCCAGCTGGCGCTCAATCTCGTCTGGTCGCCGCTCTTCTTCAGCGCGCACCAAGTCGAGCTCGCTCTCGTCGACATCCTCACCCTCACAGGAACGGTCATTGGCCTCACCGTACGTCATCACATACATTAGCGAGACGCGCGCTGATGCAGAGAGAGAGACAGACCGTTGCGGCAAAGGTCGACGAACGAACGCTGTATGCCTATGTACCGTACAGTCTCTGGCTCGGCTATGCTTCCTACCTCAACGCCGGGATCTGGTACAAGAACGGCGGCAAGGAGAACGTCCAACGTTTGCTCAACTCTGCCGAGGACAAGGCCAGACAGGCGGAGAAGAAGGCAAAGGAATTCGGTCGTGAGGCCGAGAGCAAGGGCAAGGAGGTCAAGCGTGATGCCGAGGCCAAGAAGGACGAGAAAACTCAGTAGATCACCCTGTCATTCATCGAGGAGAGCCTCATATCCATTCTCACTACTCTGACAATTTGAGAACCTTACCCTTCACTTTGCGTGTATGACAACATCTGAGCGAGCCCAATGCACATCTTTCCGCGCCTGCCTGAGCGTGCGAATGCATCGAGAAGCTGCGTCTAAGCATACAAATGCGGATTGTCGTGCGTAGGGTTCATGATACGCTCGAATCTGGCGAAGCAGACTGATGCCGGGGATGGATCATCTTTGCTCCCAAGTGCTTCGCGACTTGAAAGACAGAGCTCACAGGTGTGGAAGCAGCCGAGCTCGAACGTCCTTGCGAATTTGACCTGCTATCTAGCGCGCTGCTTGTCCTCTTCTGCGCCGAACGCGGTTTCCGTTCGATGGGTGATGGCTGTGACGCGCTACCTGAACCGGAGCTCTGGCTTGATTGACCATTGGGAGACGTCTCTGGCGGCGGAGGCGCAGCCATCATGTGGACATCATCGTCGGCTTCGGTCGGTCCCAAAGTTGGGGCCGTTGTGGTAGGTGCCTCTTCGTCCATGAGCCGGTAGCCTGGATGAGAACCCACCAGACTCGCGTAATAGTGCGACAATAACGCTCCCGTCGTCTGTCAAAGGGTCCACGTCAGCACGTAGGATTGACGTAAGCTTGCCATGCTGACCGTGAGGCGCCAATCGATGACGGCGAGAAACTCCTTCTCGAGCAGGTTCATCTCTTGCATGCTTACACCTCCCACTCTGGCGTATCTCCCGTTTGTACAGAAGCTATCACTGAGTGCTTTGCTGCCCACAGCCACGCCCGCAATGACGAATCGATGTACGGTCAGGCTGGAGATGGTGAACGCGGGCAGACTCTCGCAGATCTTGTCGATATAGTGCAGCAGGATGAGGAGACAGCAAGGCTCGACATTGGTATAGCGTGATATCCGAACGAGATAGTCGTGGACGGAAATACCTGGCGGGGCTCTCGAATGAAAGCGAGTGAGCGATGTTGGCGTGAGCGGGATGAGATCATTGTGTTCGATCAGTCTCGTCAACATCGACGCTGTCAAGCCTGCATCAGACACTAGCTGGTCAATGCAGGATGCGTAGGCTGACCGACGAGACCGATGAGATCTTCGAGCTCGCAACGTTCGAAACGTGCCGGTACTTCTTTGATGCCATCCTTTGCCAAGCGGGTGGGTATAATCTTGGGCTCAATCTTGGCAGGCGGCAAGGTGATCACCTCATTTGGTGTGCTCGTGCTCGGCACAAGAGCAGGACTCAGTCTGCTCGTACTTGCTTGCGGCTGAGCTGTCGGGTCGACAGAAAGAGACGCGCCTACAAACGAAGAAGGCGAGACGGGCGAACTGTTGTGTTGTACGGCTGGACGAGCAGAGGCCGAGTCTCGGTCGAGTGCCATGCCCGTACGAGCACTTGACGACGGCATGGCGCAGAAGCTCAAGCACGTTGGGTGCAAAGGGGTGAGGCGTTGTCAAGCGATGGTCTGACCGCGCGCATCCTCTATGTCACGAGACAATCGGCTCTATGGGACTCGTCTCGTCTCGGTCCGAGTTCTGATGGTCGAAGCTGAGCGGCTACCTGGCAGCATTCGACTTTCGGCCTGGTGATCGACAGACGTGGCGTCTTGGTGGTTGTCGACGTGTCCGATGACCGCATCGATTCCTTTGCGCCTGCCATTTCGAGAAACTCAGTCGGTCGAGTTTTGATTCATCAGATCTAGCGACTCCTTTATAAGCGGACCTACTACGAAAGAGAAAGGACCACAAGCACAGCAAAGATGGCCATCATGAAAGCAGCCCACCCAGCGCTATTCGCAACCATTGTGTTCTTCAGCTTGATCGAGGTAAGCACCGCTCAACGTTGCAAGCTGTGAGGCGAGCATCTACATTTGCTAGAGATTGACATGCTCGCGCGGACTTAGATCGGTATCTCTGGTGCGCTGGTAGGCGACTACAACAGGGATGGTGGCAAGACCTCTCTCAAGACAGCGTAAGTCCTGCCCCTTCCGCCGATGTCACGAGAGCGGACAAGAGTGTACTGATGCGCTCGGCCTTTGCAGGACTCGATTCCTCCTGTTCGCCTCACTCTGGACATTCATCTTTGGGATCTTCTACATCTTTGGATTCCTGAGAATGGCCGGCAACGTCCTCTTCTCCATCGCATCTCACGGTATCTGGGTCAGTCAAATCTCTCTGTGGATCTCGCTGTCCCATCATTGACATCGGAGCAGGTCTTTGTGACGTTCATCTTCTGGCTAGCGGGAGCTGCCGCGCTCGCTCAGCAACTCCGAACGAACCCCAACTTCCCTCACGAGACGACACTGCGCGCCTGTGAAGCGTTTGCATGGATGAGTACGTGCCTCTGTCTAGTTGCTCTCCAAGGGCATTGGCTGACATTGTGGCGTCGCAGATGCGATCATTCTCGCCGGACTGCTCGTACTGATCGGTCTGTCGGGCATGAAGAGCTCCCGTGACGGCAACGGCTTTGGCGGCAGTCTGGCGGAGGTCTAAAGACATGCCGCCTTTCATGCTTCCTGACGGCTTTCATACTTTATATGCGCAACGTACTAGAGATATTCGTCATGGCGAGAGCGACCAGAACTGCAGCAAGTCCATGTCAAACCCCCCAATACCCCTGGCCTTGTTCTGTCGTTCGATCGTTCGCCCTGGCAAACTGCCGATACCCCCAATTTACCCCTTGTCAAAAACAGACCCGCACGCTCTCACCCACACACCCACATTAGGACTCGTCCTTTTCTTTACTAATCAGAGCTCGCCTACTCTTTTGCGCTACTTGTCAACAACAATGCACCTTTCTCGCTGTTTTGTCTATGCTCTGCTCTGCCTCTCCAGGCTTTGTCTACTCGAGTACAGCGAGTGCCTCGATCTCGACGAGGACATCCATGGGCAGTCGAGCCACTTGGACCGTCGAACGAGCGGGCTTGTTGGGCAGATACTTGGCATAGACGGCGTTGAACTTGGGGAAGTCGTTCATGTCCTTGAGGAAGACGGTCGTCTTGAGCACGCTTGACAGCGACGCTCCTGAGGCTTCCAGGACTGCCTTGAGATTCGTGAAGACCTGAGTCTGTCAAGGACCTTTCGATGTGAGCTCTCAGGTGTGAAAGCACGTAGAGAAGAGTCTGACCGTCTGTTCTTCGATGGCGCCATCGATGATCTTCATGGAGACCGGGTCAAGGGGAATGGTGCCCGAAGTGTAGACCAGGCCATTGTACTTTATCGCCTGGGAGTAAGCGCCTACTGCTGCAGGCGCATTCTTGGTCTCTACGACTTGGATGGACGAGCTCATTCTTCTGATCTGCGCTGGTGAGGAAGTGGCGAGTCGTCGCAAGGTTGTCGCCATCCGACGGTCGCGTCAAGATTAGCCTGCCCACTTTATCGGCTGACCTCACCCAACTTTGCTGAGCTTCCCCAGACGGTCACGAGGACAGGTATGGCGACTTTCCAGGCTAGGAAGCCAGCTCTGGTCTCTCGCAAGAGTGCAGAGCAAGACGAACAGCCAGCCAGCGCGTTCCAGTCTGACTATGGCCAATCACGTTATCACGCCAGCACGAGCCAGTCTCGATCGGCCCTTGACCCTTCCCATCCTCCGTCCTCGCTCCAGCGGGACGTGTACGATGAGAGCGCAGGTCAGGACCCACGTTGGATCGTGTTCGACAAGCCCTCGACGGACAGTCACCGTCGACCGATAGGTACACCTCAGCCGATCGTGACGAGCCCGCCCAAGTCGAGCAGAGTCGATCGAGAGCACAGCAGCAGCAGCAGCAGTAGTACGACTTGGCAGCTCATAGGTGACCAGCGACCTGCCTTTCTTGCCACGAGGGCTCGGGCCTCATCCGGCGACGACGTGGACAGCCAAGATGGTCACAGCGATACGGCCGAATTGCTGACCGCCGACACGACACTCTCCTTTCCTTCCTTGCCGACCCATGACGGTAGCGGCATCTTCCTCTCTGCCCCTCCCCGGTCGGCAGACTCGACCTCATCCCGTCAGAGCTCCGCCAACGAATCTGAGCTACCGTCGTTCTATGCCAGTGCTGCCGGTCTGACGGCTTCCACGGGCGGCTCGACCAGTTGGACGCCTGCTGCCACTCGCACGTCTCGAGCGAACAGGCATCAAATCGGCCACTCTGCCGGCCTCTTGAGTGCCAATGACGATGACTCCGACTTGCTGTCCTCTGAACGCGAGAGAGCTCTCGATACGCTTTCGCTCTCCTCATTTGACGACATCACATCCGATCATGTACCTCATGATCCTCGTCACCGCGAGACCATCCTCTCCGGCTCATCCTGGGCACTCACAGAATCCGCCCTGTCCCAGATACCCGATGCCCTCTCGCTGAGCGCTTCGGTACAAGATCAGCGGGTCTACTATACCTCGGACGATTCTGCCGACTCCGAAGAAGAGGACCTGCTCGCTCGGACGCCTCAAGCGCAGTCAGCTGGCATCTCAGCACTTCGGAGAGACAGAAGGGGTCGACGAGCAGCTTATCGAAATCGTCATGCCCATCCTGCTCGGGACAGCGTCAAGACGAGCGATGCAGAGCAGAGTGAAGCGACGCGTGCGCATCGCTTAGACAGACTGCACTATCCTACCCCGCCGCCGGAGGAAGAGCTCGAGATGTCGAGGTCACAGGCCTCTCGTGCTGCCGCCAAGCGTCGCCACAAACGGTCGGGCATAAGCGATAAGGGCAGCAAGCGAAGTCATAGCAGCGCGGCAGAGAACAAGCCTGCCTCCGTCCCCATTGCAACGCCTTCTGTTGCATCCACTCGCAAAGCCAAGTTCTCATTGGGCGATGTCGTCAACAATATGCTCGATATCGACCAAGACACCCGCCTTCTCCTTCGTTCGGCAAATCCGTAAGCTTGCTCGCATTCTGAACAAAATCGAAGCTGATGTAGGTCGCAGTGAGAGCGAGACGCCTACGCCAACTGGCCCCCGACGCAGCCCGAGCCGACGGCGTGTAAGCGAGAGCTATTCAGCTCGACAGTCTCTCAGCAGTCACATCGAGCGCGAACGCCCCTCAGACCGCTCGCATGGTGTAGCACGGCTCTCCTCCTGGGCTACTGCAGAATTGGGCGATTATTCAGGCTACGCCGTTGGCTATGCTCTCGACGAGGATGCAGAGATGGACAGCGGCGAAGAGACCGAGATCGAAGATCAACCGGGCCGTGTTCAGCCCGCTATCGTGCTGAGCGAATCTGATAGTCCGACGGCAGTACACCGGTCACATTCGCTCGTTTCGCTTCCCCGGCATATCATCGATAGTCTCTATGCCTCTCTACCTTCTTCGATGCTGACCTCGCGTGAGGTCGAGAGCGATAGCACTCATTCGGGCGGTCATACCTCACCACTCAAACGCTCAGCCTCTTTTACTTCCGCAGGACGCCCAGCAGCTTCTCAAGCCGAACCTGATGACCTCGAGTCGGCTGTACTCTTTTGGAAGCGCGTCTTGCGTCGCTTCAGGCCTTTTTAGCCTTGTCTGTCCTCATTGCTCATTGTCGTGTACTGTTTGTGTGCTCATGTGCAGCCTGTAGCGTCGAGACTCTCAATTGCATCTCATATCGCTGTCACTAGCGAAAGGTGCAACATGAGAATGCATCTTACAGAGGTATACATGCTCATGTTGAGGATGCATCTTACAGAGGTATACATGCTCATGTTGAGCGATGCAGAATACACAAAGGCGGGAATGTGATGCTAGTGAGCGATGTTCTCCTTGATCGCTTGCGTGCCCGTCGCCAGACCAAGGTCAGCCATCAGGCCATCATTGAGTTCTGCAAGGGGCGCGAGTTCTTTGCGATCGATCAGGCTGAACTCGTTTACGAAGAGTAGAAAGTGTCGATACGAGGTGTTCAGGTGGGCTGTTCACAGCGCTGTCTCAGCGCTTCGCTGGGACGGCAAGTCGAGGCTCACCTTCAATACTGAGTGCGCACATCTGTGCAAAGTGATGGTTGTAGAGATGCGCGTAGACTCTGAAGAGCCTCCTGACAATGCTCTTGATCGTCTGGTGGAACGTCTTTGGAAAGGGCACGCCCATTTTGGATGGGAAGATTGCTTCATCGTCCAGTTGACCTTGAACCCAATTCATCAATACATCGACATAAGCTGTACACCGTCTTTCGTCAGCGCTTAAGGAGAAGAGATGGCCTCTGGACCGACCCGGCGCAGAGAGACGTTCTGGCTTCTTGTACTTTACGCCGTCCTGCCACTGATACTCATAGCGTGGGCCTGCCGTCATCAAGGGGCAATGCTGAGGCGTGCAGAATTCGGTGACGGTGCCGTAAAGCATATTGATCTGGTTGAAGAAATCCACAGCTGTCGCAGTATCATCAGCACCGGCAGCGCAGGGTGGCCAAGACGCGGACTGTTCGTAGCGAGCCATTCGTTGAGGTCTTCACCTTCGGGCAGGACGACGGCAGCACGCAAGTTGCCTGAGCCTAGCGTCGCTTCTGCATACCTGTCACTCGCCTTGTCACTAAGCCCGGCCTTGTAGCAGTCAGAGCGCGGTGAACCGACTTCTTGAGTTGGTACTGCTTTGTACCCTCCGGGACATTGGTCTGCTCAGAACAGACTTGTCAACATGATCAGTCACATCTTGAGAAGTAGTGCGTGCCTTTTTGGGCTTGAAAGTGCGCTGTTTCGCTCTGCATGAGCGTGTCAACAGGGCCCAAAGCACTGAAGGTTCAATGGACTCGCATTCCGCCAAAGAAGCTCATTCTGCCGGCGTGGAGCGTGTCTGATCTTGCGCACAAGTCGCACTAGCGATGATGAGCGTTGATGCTGGCTGATGTGAGCGATCTGCCGGTCACGAGCTGCCGATGTACTGGTGACGATGCACGAGACCGACGCGTCGTTGAACGTAAATTCTACGGCGACTGACAAACCTGCGACAGCACTTTCACTCGGCGACAAGTCGGGCCAGCATGTCAGGCCAGACAGCTCATGGTCAAGCCAGCACTGCGCTAGACGGTCCTCTGTCGACTCTGTCACTGTCGAGCAACAACAAGTCAGCACTGAGCAATAGCACTCGACTGCCACTCGGATCCATCTCGAACCAGTACGACCAGGGCAACAATGGCTTCGTCCTGCCTGCTCTGGGCACACAACTCAAGCCTATCTTCGTAGGCAACGGCAGACCTGCAGATGTACGGAATGGAACGACGGCATTGGCCGTCAATCGACTCTCGACAACAACGCAGATCAAGCTACCCCATGTGCCCTTCCAGCCCAAGCCGCCAAGCTCCTTCATGCCCAGACCGCCCGTCTCTGCTTTCTCAGTATCTACGTCTGCTCTGCCAAGTTTGCCTCCGCCAATAGCGCCAGTGGCGAGCAAAACACAGATGAGCGCTAGTCAAGGCGCAAGGATGCCCTCAATGGCGAGCAGTCATACGACGACCATGGCTGCTGCGACCGCCGCTGCGAGACAAATCGACATTGGTGGATACGATGGCGGACTTGAGCGAGACGATGCAGCGCTAGCTATGTCCCAGACGAGCAGATTATCACTCAGGCAGAGCACAGTCCTATCTGTCGACAGTCATGCCCATGCTAGCCCTGCTGAACGATGGTCACTCTCCTCATTCGATATGGGTAAATCACTTGGAAAAGGCAAGTTCGGACGGGTCTACATGGTCAGAACAAAGAAAGAGCCCAAATTCATCCTCGCGCTCAAGTGTCTCTACAAAGCCGAGCTCATCGGCCATCGCGTCGAGATCCAGCTTCGCAGAGAGATCGAGATCCAGCAGAATCTACGGCATCCGAACATACTCAGACTGTATGGCTACTTCCACGACGAGAAGCGTGTCTTCCTCATGCTCGAATTTGCTGCCAAGGGCGAACTCTACAAGCAGCTTTCGCGACATGGTAGATTCGGCGAAAAAAGGAGCAGTCGCTACATTGCTCAGATGGCAGATGCGCTCAGCTATTTGCATAGCAAGCATATCATCCATCGCGATATCAAACCGGAGAATCTCTTGCTTGGCATCAACGGCGAGCTCAAAATTGGTGACTTTGGCTGGAGTGTGCACGCGCCATCGGACAGGCATGTCTTCCACGTGATCACATTGAGAAGCTAACAAGCGAACAGGCGTACGACGATGTGCGGCACGCTCGACTACCTGCCGCCGGAAATGTGCGAGGGCAAGCCGCATACCCATGCAGTCGATCTATGGGCCATTGGTGTCTTAACCTATGAGTTTCTCACCGGATCGCCGCCCTTTGAGGAGATGGCGGGCACTTCGGGTACGCTCTACTTGCATCGTGACCCACAAAGCTGACATCCAGAGCAGCGACGCACAAGAGGATTTGTGCGGTCAAGTACACCGTTCCTGCGCATGTGTCAGAAGAGGCCCGCGATCTCATTGGCAAGGTACAGTATTGCAGAACAGGACAAGATTCGAGCTGACTGATGATGCGCTGCAGTTGCTACAGTACCGACCTGAGGATCGTTTGCCGCTGCACAAAGTCGCTGTGCATCCATGGATTCAGAAATGGTCACAAGCGAGCAAGAGAGCAGCAACGGGATCAGGCGCCTAGATGTCGTTTGTATGTACATGCATGTCACAACAACAATGGCAAGCGTCAATGATGGACTAGATAGGTAAGCGTGTGCGTTGAAGCAACGTCTGTCTCGCGTTCAGGTAGTACTTCGACTCGAGTGGCCGCATTGATGTAGTGTGTTTCGCTCGTCAAGCTAGCATCCACAGGTCGACATATGATCGAGGGCATGGTAAGATTTCCAGCGCGTTGAGAGATCAGCCAGACGGTAGCTCGGTGCGTGACGCCCTCCACAGCGTCGAAGGTTGCCATACGCGTACCACAGACAATCCAATCGGATGCTGGTGCATTCAATTCATAACGCATGCAGGTTCCATGCTCGTGTAGATTGGTCTGCTCATTCGGAGCAGCCCAAGCAAAGGTGCAGCTGAGCGCCAGATTTGCCTCTGCACATTGACCGAGCTCAAGCCCAGACGGATTTGCGAGTGTCAGGCAAGCCTGCGTTAAGACCGAGATCGTGGGCAGCTCCACAGGTATGGTCAGATGACGCCATCGACAATCGACTGCATCACCTCGACCGAGTTCCGAGTGTCGATGCATGTGGCTTAGGAGAGCAGTGAGGGTAGCCTGGTCGGCAAGCGACAAAAAGCTATCCCTGATGACACTGTCCCATAGCGACACGTCAAAAGGCCGGAAGAAGACGTGGCCAGTCAACGCGTATTTGGGCACGTCTACGCACAGCTGGACAGCGTGTTCGAAAGCTTGGTCGACAGCGAACTGCATGAGCGACAAGCCAGCTTCTTGCAGACGACCTCGCACGGCGCATGACCAGATCAGCTTGATCTCGTCTTCGATGGATCGATACACTATTTCGAATCGCATCGCTTTGCCGTGCTCGCCCACGCTCGCATTTGGCTTGTTGATCTTGAAGACATACGAAGCAGGTCTTTCTGGCGATACGACACTCGAATGAGATGCTGACGAAGTGATAGCAATATCGGGGCTTGTGCCAATGAGCGTGGCCGATCGTATCCTGAGGCAGCATGCATCGTCGCTAGAGATGGCAAAGCGTGACAGCACAAAGGTATGTCTGAAGAAGTCATGCACATTGACGCTGAATGGTAAAGCAGCCCGCAGACGCCTCACAGCTCGCAGTTGCCGCCTGACCTTCGACTTGCGCTGGTCATAATAATCCACAAGAACGACGATGTCTGAGGCATCAATACTCAGGGGAACTCTGAATTGACTGCAGATGCGCGGATCGACTTTGGACAGCTGCAGCGTCTCTCGCGATGCAGTCACGCCGTTGAGTGATGCTAGAGATTCTGCTGACGACAGATCAATAGATCTGTTCCCTGGCAGAGCCTGCAAGCGTATTCGCGCCGAGCTGAGTGCATTGCGGCCCGTCAGCAGCGATACGATCATGTCTCGTCCTCGATCTAGATGGACGTGCTCTGGCGCATCAAGTGTTACATCCAGAGCATGTGGATCAGGTGGAAAGGTCACAGTAGACTGCGATGGCGAGACTTTTGCAGACGCGGCCGAGGGTCTATGCGAATACTGGAAGATGATGCGGGAAAAGCGCAATTGCGAGAGCTCTAGCGCAAATGCACCATGCAGGGGCATGAAGCAATGAGCATCGATCTTGTTCTTGCCGGGTTGGAGCATACAGGCAGCGGACGAGAACCAATACGACTCGCCATCTGCGTCCGAGAATTTGAGGCGACACTCTGCAATGTCGACCTGACAAGGCAGGTAGCTCTCTATGGCAAGCGTAACGATTGCAGCGTCTTCGTCCTGGGCATGTCGTCCCTGCTCAGCTGAAATGCTGACACGGAAAGTGGGAAAATTGATCGCCGCAAAGTCTTTCTCTAGCGTGGACGCAAGCGAGTAGATATCACTCATGAGTGCAGCCGCAAGCGCCGGGGCAGGTTGATCTGATCTGTCGGGAAGAACGACTTGGGGCGACCATTTGCGAATGCCGAAATTCATGCCGGCACGAACAAGAGCGAGCGTGCTCAGCAGCTTGTCTTTGGCCATCCCAAGTTCGCCCTGCAGCAGTGCGCAGTCAGCCAGAAGAGCGCACTCAATGCCAGTCCATCGGCCTTCGAGATAGTGCCGAGGCAGATGAGAGAGCAGCCTTTGAGCAGACGCGGCTTTATCTCGCCTTCGTTCTAGCAGCGCAAGGGAGACGTGAAGCCTCAGACTGGATCGTTTCCTGCCGCTGATTTGATAGCCTTCGATAGCTTTGTGAGTTAAGCGGATATAGAGCTGATCAAAGGATTCTTCGCTGTTCTGAGCAGCCGCAAACTCTATGTTGCTGATAGGCGGTGCTGCACTAGCCGGCCCGCCAGCTACAGTGTTTTCCATATGTACGACATCATCGACGACAGGCGAAGCGTTTGGGAGGAAAGTCAGTCGTTGTCCTAGCCTTTCTAGCTGCCTTCGCGCCAGCTCGACAAGCTCTGAACGAAGAGCAGCAAAGCCAGGTAGTTCGAGCGCATCTTGACCCCTCGAGTTCGCTAGCTGATCGCACATTGTGACGATGCTTATGCAAGCAGAGTACGTCCAAGATTCGATGAAAGCTGCATGGTCTGGTGGTGCCAATGAGCGCAGCGACCTTGAGAACGCGCCAATGAACAAGAGGGATCGCTTTGCTAATTCGACGATACGGCCCATACGGCCGAGAAGATTCATTTGACGACTGAAAAGGTAGATCCGGAAGTCAAAGATGGTGATCTCGTTCGATCTTATCAATTGACGGTATGGTTTCCGTTCTATGTCTTGTTGCAGCGGTAAAATGTCATCGCCGAGCGCGAGCGAATCAATACCGCTCAACCAAGCATAATTGCTTTCGACTAGCGTTTGAAAGAATGAAGCCTCTAGCTCGTCGTACTGAATGAGGGCGTCTTCGAGTAGGTTCATCGCTTCAAAAGAGTGCGCCAGGCCTTCTTTGTGTATGAAGAAAGTACAGAAATTCCAGCCTGGTATTTGTCTCTGGGCGTCACTCTTTCTGACCTCTTCCTCGTAAGCTGTGAGATTGACATCAAATGTTTGCATGATAGCATCCTTGAGCTTGCTGGACAGATCACCGATCGTCGCATGATCTAGCACGAGATCCGCGCTGGGCGCTGCTGTCATTGTCATGTGAACGCATCTATATCAGCGTCAGCTCAGAAGTGCACGCCGTCGAGGGCATGCATGCTTACCTGTCCCGCTTGCCCGAATTGAAGTCTGCACGAATTTTGTCCGAGACGGCGCCTTTGCGCTGATAGAACTTGGACGAAGTGGCGCGCGGAACAGCAGAGAGGGAGATGATGATCCATTCTTGATTGCGCTTTGCAGTGACAAAGTCTAGCCATTCTCGGATCTGTTGACGAGCAGTCGACCGGTACAGGTCGCTGTCCTGCTTTGTCCCCAGTCAGCTGCTGATCAGTGCCTCTTATTACAGACGCGCATCGCAAAATACGAAGAGCAAGTGCAGATGTGGCCGTTCGAGCAGGTTTGCATGAGCCGAGACACCGCTCAGAGTTGTCTCAGAAATGTCGCTAAGCCTGCGAAAGTCGACTTCGAGCGTACGAATCGTTCTGCTAGCTCTCGAAGCAGATTTCCACTCGAGATCGGTGAGTGGCAGCACTTTGGACTTGAGCAGTGCGAGGTGAGGCTCGACAGCCTCATCGCTAGGAAGAGCCCGATAGGTGACTGGCAAGCGCCGCGCTGCGCTCATGCCAGCGCCCAAGCGCCTGCAATCGCTGATGCAATGGTGCGCCCACTGAATATTCGGCAATACCTCGCGCGGCTTTCGGCACTTGTGGACACGCGACACGTCGCGTCACCTGCCGCTCACAGTATGGCTCATAGCATGCATGACACGCATACAAAGCGTACATGTACTTCCTTTCGCAGTCCGCGCCGCGCTCGGCAAAGAGTCTGGAAAATCTCATAGAGCTAGTCGGCTTTGCGTCACTTCGTTGCACTGGTGCAGATGACCGCTAGGAACTGTGGAAATTTACATTTTACGTGCGAAATGATGTCCTGGTGACAGATTTTGCGTGCTATCAGCGTACTCGTGTGCTCGCACGAGGGTGTAGCGCTGGTCGCATTCTGTTCCGGGGGTCTGCAGATATCCCACATAGCTCATGGCATCGGGATGCGCTTGTTTTAGATAGTGCATATGCGTGCACGCCTCCTTTGGGCTTGCGGATCACATTTCTAGGTGGCGCGCTTTGCCTGGGCCTATTTGAGGTGAACAATATTGACAGTCCAAGCATTCTTGCACTCGTCGCGTCTGGTGACATTATAAAAGCCAGGCGCCGCGCTCAATCTTCACTCCTCGCAGGACTTGGCAACAAACCTGGCAAACCTCTCAGCACCAGCATGGCTGCGCTACTGCCTCATCGCGCTGGGGACCCGTACCACGGGCATCCATCTTTCGTGTGCTATGGTGCGTACGACTTCGACCTCGAGCTTGGCGACTACTCTCAGCACCAGCATGGCTGCGCTCCTGCCTCATTGCGCTGGGGACCCGTACCACGGACATCCATCTTTCGTATGCTATGGTGCGTATGTTACAGTCGAACTCGGGCGACCAGCGCGATACCTGCACGTGCTTTCGACTGCTCGCCGTCCTCTTGTCCAACTCGTCTTCCCCACTTTGGACCTGCTGCTCACTTGCACTCCACAGTCTCTGCTCGATCTGCTTGCCAGCCTAGCGGGCGATGACCTCGTAGCCAAGAGCTGGCGGGCTAGCCTTGCAGATATGCATACTTATGTTTTTTATATTTTGCCTTTGCTGAAGCTCTATGCGATCATGTTGCATCATGTTGCAATGAGAGATGAGGACAGTGATCGTGCATTGACTGTCGCCTCTGCCTGTCACTAAGTCCGTCAATGCTTGTAGCTTAGCTTGGTCTCAGCTTGAGCTCGATATTCGACATTTGAAAGCTAAATTGAAAATGATGACAGCAGAGGCTGCTTGGCCGAGCTGCGACAGCCCAGCTAGTCGCCACAGATGGCCACACGGCCGATCGGCCGATTGCTGACCTCATCTCTCATTGCAACAAGGCAAAATATAAAAAAACATAAGTATGCATATCTGCAAGGCTAGCCCGCCAGCTCTTGGCTACGAGGTCATCGCCTGCTAGACTGGCAAGCAGATCGATCAGAGACTGTGGAGTGCAAGTGAGCAGCAGGTCCAAAGTGAGGAAGACGAGTTGGACAAGAGGACGGCGAGCAGTCGAAAGCACGTGCAGGTATCGCGCTGGTCGCCCGAGTTCGACTGTCACATACGCACCATAGCATACGAAAGATGGATGCCCGTAGTACGGGTCCCCAGCGCGATGAGGCAGTAGCGCAGCCATGCTGGTGCTGAGAGGTTTGCCAGGTTTGTTGCCAAGTCCTGCGAGGAGTGAAGACT